ATGAGACTTCTCGAATATGGTGAATTTGATGCGGTAACTATAGTTACTAGAAGATGGGTATTTATTGAAGAAAAGGGGGAGACATTTAGTTAGATATTAAATTGCAATTCCGTACGCTAAAATAATGTATTTTCATTTTTATGATGATTGTACTGCCAAGGTATAAATCTCATTTCTTTGAGATAAAAACACCTTCAGAACATTGTCCTGAATGGGATCTAAATGCTGATCTTTATTATTGTCAGAGGTGATTGTTATCATACTAAAAAATGAATCATAATCATGAGGATAGCAGAGTAAGTACTTTGTATGATGTTTAACGCCGCACTCAGCAACATTCTAGCTATTTGTCCGTTGTCGTGTAAATAATCGAGTCTGGACCAGACAATCCAGTGATCAACAGCATGAGCATCGATCGACGCAATCGGGGTACGATGACATGTATCAAGCAAGTCTGACCACCCGATCCCGTTAGTCGCATCTCACGACAAGCATGGGTTGCTGAAGATCAATTCTAACCCGGATCTTCACGGGTGGAGTAATACGACGAGGCACAATAAGCCAGTGTACAGTCCTATAAAGATACCATAGGGCTATGAATATCTTAAATGCACGTACACAAAACGGAAATAGATCTGCGTTCGTTTTGAGGAACCATCCCAGGTCCTACGACGAACATGAAGTTCCGTGTCTCAGTGCTCACCTGGTAGCTACGCCATACGTATATAAGTGCGGAACAGGGGTTTTCTCAGTGCAAGAAGCGTAGAAGGGCTGGACCACGATTGGTGTATCGGAATATCCAATCAAGATAACAACATCGTACTGATGACGTCTTACCAGTAGGTGGAGTATTGAAAAAACATTCACTCACTCTGTAATTGAACATTCTAGCAAAATACCTAACCAATAAAAACAAAAATTCGACAAAAGAAAAAAACCCCGAAAACACAAAAAAAACAAAAAAACTATAGCAACAACAACAACAACAACCAAAATTACATATGTGTATACTAAGGTACTTTCCATACAAAACGTACGTGACCCTGTAACACCGTTTTGAAAACTCTTTTTGAGTTCAACATCAACTTTTATATCTTTCACATATACTCATGCCAATAATGGTTGTCACCCCCTTCAATTATTTTAATTGGAGAGGGGGCGTGGGGTGGGTGTATGGGGTGACAACCATTATTGGCATGAGTATATTTCGGCCACAACGATTTAATATTTCTTCTTCTTTAACACATCTATTTGATCAGCTTCAGAAAAAAGTTCGAAACAAACAAGTCAATCTGTACATTCATAGGCAGTTTGTTGGTTGACGAGGCGGTAACCTCACCTAAAATATCTAAACGGTTCACTTTTCGAAAATATTTAATCGTATTCTTTCAAAAACATTTGTCATGTCAATTTGGAGCTCACTTGAATACTAGTATACGAAGCTCGCACTTATGGTCTCTTTTCACGAGTGAGTGAGTGATTGTGTGAATGAGTGAGTGAGTGAGGTTTTACACCAATAGTCCAGCAGTATGACCTTGACATTTTCTATCCATGAGAGGGGCGGTGGGGTAGCCCAGTGGTTAAAGCGTTGGCTCGTCACGCCGAAGACTCGGGTTCGATTCCCCACATGGGCACAATGTGTTAAGCCCATTTCTGGTGTCCCCCGCCGTGATATTGCTGGAATATTGCTAAAAGCGGCGTAAAACCAAACTCACTCACTCACTCGCTCTATCCATGAGGGGAATCGAACCCAGTGGGTCTTTAAAACACGTCAACCCGTACGTCCGTGTCTAAATGTTGGGATCTTGTCATGTCAGAATATTAAATAACAACAAATAGTTTACTTATTTCGATAACTCGTATAAAGAGAGGGTATCTGGCTATCCCTACCACATAACAAGCCTATACGTCATCGACAGACACTACAAAGGTATGCGAACGGTATACAACTCAGAAAAAATAGAGTATTAGAAAAACAGATTCCACCATTTTTGGTGAGTGAATTGAAACAAAATACAACTTAGGCAACTTTGTTCATAGAAATCCAGATACATCCAGTCACTGATGCGTAATAAGGAATAATTGTAATATGGGTAGACATGTTGGATTGCTGTGAGACAACTGGAAGCCTACTAGGATTATGTTAAAAAAAACCATGTGGTTTCAGAGGCGTATCAGATCACAGTCGGGTATTAAATAGACACACACACACGCTGTCACTTATTGTGGTTCCACAGTATTACTTCAGTTAAGGTTTAATGTTTCAAAATTATGCATACATGAATGAATGAGAACAATGGCCAAAGCTTTTCTGTTTAGATCGGGACGAAATTCTGTAAGCCCAGTTTGTATATAACACCAGTGAACGTTGATGCATCGGTCGATCAGGCGTTGATTCAGAGATGAGCTCACGGCCATCGGACAATGGTCAGTGCGCCATGACAGTCACAGACAGCTTAAACAATTCTGATTCCAGCACCTTAACAATGCTGATCTCTTGGGTCCTGTTTTACACAGCCACTGTAGCCACATGGCGGACGTTTCCCATATTTAACATAGACGTGCGACAGTCGTGGGTCAAGGGTACTGGTGACACGGGTCCCAGGTTAGCGATCAATATCGTGTGTATATACACGTACTTATAGCCAGATGAATCCCACATACTGTAATGGGTAAAACCGTCAATTGAATGAAAGTGTAGTGATTTCTGTATCAGTGAGTGAGTTTAGTTTTATGCCGCTTTTAGCAATATCCCAGCAACATCACGGCGGGGGACACCAGAAATGGGCTTTACACATTGTACCCATGTGGGGAATAGAACCCGGGTGTTCGGCGTGACGAGCGAAGGCTTTAACCCTCCGCGCCCTTTCTTCATTAATATGATCCAGATGTTTAATATTGGATATAGTGAAAAATAGCCTTGGTGTAATGCTTCAAGGAATATTGTTGTGGTAACAGTTGTATATGTCAAGTTTAAGATCTGGTTAAACATTTTCTGTCGTGTAAAATAAGCGAAAAAAAGGGAGTCGGTGTACGATTCTGACTATATCATGAACGTGTGTTTATGAAGCACTATCAAACAGTGATAACACCAGGTTTTCACCAAAAGATGAACGTATCGTTGTCCCACCATCTGCAAATGTCACGAACACACGCAAAGGCAAGGCAACCTGTCACCTGAAAAAAGCACGGGAACATATGGTAAGAGAAGGGAATTGCATCATCATTGTCACAGATGCGTCGAAAAACATTAGCAACATCGTTAGAAAACTGTTACGTCGCATGTCAGCGTTTATGGTATTGATGGTCAAAAGACACAGTGTGTGGTTATTAACGGAATTTCGTAATGTATGCTCTCTGTGTGTGAGAAAATTAACTTAATACTAGTATATCACGTCAATGTCATTATGAAGTCCACTGTTCCATCAAACTTTCAGGGGCGGTGGGGTAGCCTAGTGGTTAAAGTGTTGGCTCGTCACACCGAAGAACCGGGTTCGAATCCCCACATGTGTACAATATGTGAAGCCCATTTCTGGTGTCCCCCGCCGTGATGTTGCTGGAATATTGCTAAAAGCGGCGTAAAACCAAACTCAGTCAGTCAGTCAGTCAAACTTTCAATGTCAGGGCGTATAAATATATATAATATAAATTAGGCCACACATTTTTTACAGAATTAAAGGAGACACGATTGGCCAAGTCAACTGAAACACACTCAAAGCAACTATCCTAGGTTCGAAACCAATATTCTCTCTGATTTTACGTTTGTGTTTGTCTGCAGATTAACTCATTCATTTATCACGGTATTATAAAATCTCCTAGGGACGGTGGGGTAGATTAGTGGTTAAAGCGGTCGTCACGCCGAAGACCCGGGTTCGATTCCCCACACGGGTACAATGTGTGAAACCCATTTCTGGTTCCCCCGCCGTGATAATGCTAAAAGCGGCGTAAAACAAAACTCACTCACTCACACACTATAAAATCTCCTAACAGAAACTTCTGGCTTATATGGCATAATTGATTTTAATTTTTTTTTCTTATTTAAAATGTTAAAGTTTATCAAATTTAACTTGAAAGTTTACTCTAACTATTGTACTACATATCAAGTTATGGCATTGAGAGTGTTGACTTTGTTTACTTATTGTTGTTGTGGAAATCTTTACTTCAGTAATCGAAGGTTTGTGTTTGCCTCTTGTCTAGACAAACCTTGAAACCAACCCTGAGCGAATTAGAGGCTCGAACCTACGATCAAAGGATTCTGGCTCATGTACGGGGGCAACTCTTGACAACAAATTGCCACATCTTAGACCAATGGACCGCTTGTGGCGCCGATCAATAATTATACACAGTCCGGTTTCGACAGTGTCCGCAGTATCAGATAGTGACATGGAAGTCACTCGGTGGTCAGTTCCATCCAAACTGAATGAAGCGCTGCAATAAAAATAAAATCCCCAAGACGAGAAAATATTAACAGCTTTTCAAACTGAGACTATTTATTAATGAAGAATTTAGGTAATTTAATCCCTCATATAAGTGAATTTACCCATATGTCTGCATATAATATTCAATTACCATGTAATATAAAACAATGGTTAAAACATTATCTAACGATAACACAACCTTCTGTAAACCATTGCAGTTAATTATTCATCGGGCGGGTCCTTATATATTAAATGTAAATCATATATGATAATCACGACGCGTTGATTGATGGTCCCATTAAGTGATAACATTACACGTAATTAGCTAGTAAAGGTCACTGACATACGTCCAATACCCACTGTCGGTCAAGCGGATCTCAACGCTTTCCCTCTCCGTCAACAAAGACAATGAAGAAATCCGGACAATTATTACTACCCCCTGTAATTGTCCGGAAATATTCAGATTATTTTAAACATAGTACCTACAGTGAGGAATGTACACATTTAACACTAGTCACTGTTAATAGAGAGTGGGTTGTTATCGCACTATTCCACCGTTAGGATGAGAGTGCTGGCTGTTCTTGGAGGAGTCTCCTGCTCGAATCTGTACATGGCACACAATGGAAGAGATGCTGTCCTGCTCGGGTGGGGCGGGACAGAGGGAGGAGCTATGGCTTGGTTCTGCCACCGTGCCACTGTAACCCGCTACCTCTAAGCATAGCTTCGCCCCAACATGCCCCGAATGTTATTAGTATCAATATGGCAGCTCAGATTGCAACCGGCTCAGCTTTCAAGTCAATACTGCAGAGTGTAACCCGTATCGCGTAGCCCGACGCCCGGCTCTCCACTCTGCTCAAGTAGCGAAGTACGGCAGAGCGTTAGGCTCCTTGCTACCGAACTATCTAACTATGGACAAAAACTATGAAGAACCCGAGTCGGTCGCAGAGGATCTACCCGTTAAGATTAAGGAAGAACCCCAGGATGACATTAAGGTAAGGCCAGGATTTCATTCTGCCATGAATCCAACTGTCGTTGGCTTCGCTATCCAGTGACTGTGCCATTAATTATCGAAATTCTCAGGCCTGATAGGTATTTTAAGTATGACGGAAGATTCGCGAGTGGGTTACCTGTCTCGTGGCGTTGGTGGGAAAGATTTTCAGCGAAAACCGCCACTTATAGTTATCGTGTATGCACCAGTTTTCTCCCATACTGTGTGAAGCAGACGATATTTCTCAGTGGCAGACGATATCCTGCCAGAAGGCGCCCGGCCCAGTCGCTAAAGGTTGTATTGCCACTTATAAATAGAACCTGTATTCACCGTGTATTACATCAGAACAGGGTCAGTAATAACTAGATAAACCTCTCTGTGTATTAGCAATCAATACAATGTCTGTTTGTCAACATGACAAGTGCTGTATGTCCCAATCTTTCCAGTCGTCAATGTTGGCTTCGGCCGAGTGTGTACAGTTTCAGTTAACCCTTTCACTGCTAAACAGGTAGGTATACATATACTGTATAGACTGTTAGTACATTGATATGCTCGGGTATAGATTTCAATTTCAGTTTCATTTTCTAGATTGTTGTTTTTCCAAATGAAAATGGAGGATCATTTTTCAAAAGGTCTTTTTTCAATTACAGTATCCTGTTAAACGTCCTTTACATTTGGCGGTTCAACAACGTGACATGGCACACGGTAGATATATAGTCAGCAAAATATTAATGTCACTGATAAATATTAAACAGTTATATATTTTATAGAAACAACAGACAACTCAGAATATGTGAATGTGTGAAATACAATAGCCGACAGCTCCGATATGACCGACTGACTTGTATTTGGTTTCTACAGCACTATCCCACATTTGTCATTTCTCTGAAATTCAGTCCTTTTGGTAAATTGATTCCAAATAGTTAACATGAGAGCGATACGGATTTGATTTCTTCAGTGTTATTGTATTTCAAACTTGCATGATGAATATTCATGTTGGGTTATATTCTTGGAGTTTACTTGACAGTTGCTGTTAGGAGCTTTTTCACCTGTCGTACCTCAGCTTTTTTACCCATAATCCTGTGCTACATTTATCTTGACACCGTGTTTGTACGTCACTGAAAACATACATCTTATAAGTTATTGCTTATCAACTTCCATTATGATTCTCCAACCGTGAACAGCGACATGTTCTCATGGGCGCAATGAGCATACACTAGTGTGTGGAAACGGCGCCATACAAATGGACATTATTATATTATTCAATTAAGCGACATACAACGAACAATAGAGTTCTAATACATTTGTATGTCGATGAAACTATATATCTATTTCGTATATGACTTTTGAAAGTGTATCATTTTGAAATAACGGATTCGGAAACGGTCTGTTGTGCTCAAAGTGTACTTCATGTAGCTATACAATATTTTAGAGATTTCATTTTTCTATTTTACTTTATTAGTTAACAATGGGCTCATATGGGTCGCCACGTCTTACCACCTGACAATTAAGATATTAATGTTGTTTCAGTTATCAATACAATGTATGTTATTAAATATTGCATCATAGATCGTGGATATGACTTAATTGTGACCCCTTGTTAAGCACATTTAAAACTGAATGACCATTGCTGTCCATTTGCGACAAAAGGCCTATGAGCTTATAAATAAATAAAATAAATAAATAAATAAATAAATGAATGAATGAATGAATGAATGAATGAATGAATGAATGAATGAATGAATGAAATTGAATGAATTGATTAAATAAATTAAATAAATAAATAAATAAATAAATAAATAAATAACAAAGTTAATATTTGTATAGCGCCTGTTCCAACATGAAAATACCTGAACACATTTTCAAAATGTTGCCCTATTGGCATCAGGCAGCCACAGAGTCGTCAAATAGCATTTCTGAAAAATATTTTTGTCAGATAGTTAAAGACACGATTTTATCTTTAAATTTGCAACTTCTTTCGTAACCATTCGCCCATTTCCGTTACCCCTTGTACCGAATGTTCCGGAATAATACGAGTGGTTACGAAGGCCCCGTTCCACATAACCATTGATGACCCTAATATTGTCTGCACCTGCTGTAGGCGGCGGTGATAACCTGACACCTAGCCCGGCAACCTGTAAGCCAGGGAGGTTAGAACAATCAAATACACATACAGACCTGCTCCCGGAGTGGTAGTCAGTCGATATTAGACAACGGTGCTGTCTCGTTTCAACAGGAAGCGGCTCTGGTGTTACAAATCCAGAACGAAATTACATGATCACAGGACTGCGTTAGCTCACCTGGATCCTGTTGTTGGGAATGTCTATGGGTGCTGTTCGCTAGCCTTCAAACTATATTTGATTACGATGAAGCGTCAGCTATCTCCATCCTGTAATCAGCAGGTAGTATGTCATCGGTATGAAACTGAAAAACATCTAGTTGCACGCTCACTGCGGTGTTAGAAGTTGCGACAACGACGTTGATACAAAGAAACAACGCTCTAACGACGCTGTTAGTGTTAGAAGCTACGTTTCGACAACGGGGTCGTAATATTTGAAACGTCAGCGCTAGGGAACAATCAATTATCTGTCGAGCGTAAATGACACAATAGTGATGACAATTATATGAATGGATTTCAGGAAATCACTCAAGACGTCAGGTGTTCGCTAAAGACTAAACAAAGCCTGCCTACCGTTACACATGGACTTTTGGAACTTCTTCCATGTTCAATGTGGTCCGTCTCTTTTGCGAATAACCATTCTTGAGCTGGGACTTGTCTTTATGTCCACGAGTCTAGATTCCTCATACCAAGCCATTTTAGCGCTATGTCAAACGTAATACCCACACCTAGCAAAGACCTACGACTCCCCTAGTGCAACTAGTCTGTCTCACAGTCCCTGAACCACATTATTTCCCCTACTACCTAGTCCTCCCCGCAATGATAACGCCCTAAATGAAGCAAGTCTAGATTTCCTCAGGTTCCAGAATCTCACAAATGGGTTTATTTGTTACGATCAAATTCATATATTCAGGGACTAAGCGCTAAACGTTAGTCTATAGTGCTACGATCGGTTTGGGCAACTGGGTCTTGTTCCAGAAAGGGGGGCGGTGGGGTAGTCTAGTGGTTAAAGCGTTGGCTCGTCACGCCGAAGACCCGGGTTCGAATCCCCACATGGGTACACGTCTTAAATTACGTGTGAAGCCCATTTCTGGTGTCCCCCGCCGTGATGTTGCTGGAATATTGCTAAAAGCGGCGTAAAACCAAACTCAGTCAGTCAGTCAGTCCAGAAAGGAGTCTCAGCGGCAGAGTATCGTAGGTCCCTTTGTGTGTACTAGTATGTCCAGACCCAGGACATTCCTTAAGTGGGAACTGACTTGAGCTGATCATACTTCCAGTCTCTGGATTTGCATCTCAAATTACCCAACAACATATATCGTGACCTTGATTTGACTTTGACCTTGACCTTGACCTTGACATTAACTATGATGTATTGATTTTTGGAGTTTGAATTTTCCCCTCTAATTCGACAGACCTCCATAACGGCCCTGTTGTAGGTCTGGTCCCGTGGACAAACGCTGCATCTGTGTGTAGGAAATCCTGGAATGCCGCAATACCCAATGTTCCCAAACATGTTGCTATCTTAACTTCAATACTAGGAGACTGGTGAGGTGAAATTGTGTTTAACGTCGTGCATGAGAATATTTCGCTCATATGACGACGTGCATGCGTGTGTATGTGCATGTGCGGCTCCTTGTACTAGCCCAGACTAAACCACTATCCCAGACTGAAGCTGGTTTTATAGTGCTAGCCCACTGAGATACCATGCCGCAGTGAAGCATGAATACCCCCACTCAGACACATTATACTGACCGAGCCGAGCCGACCAGTCCCCATTAATGCCGAGCGCCAGGCAGGGACCAACAAGTACCATATTTTAACGTCTTTTGGTATGACGCGGTCGGGGATCGAACCCGCGACCTTCCGCACTACGGGCGGACGCTCTAACCACTACACCGCGGAGGCGGTGTCTAGGAGACTGGTATAAGACAGATGGTTGATTGTTGCTTAACGCTACTCTCGGCCACAGTCAAGTTACACGTTTATGACAGCGGTCAGTAAGAATCGAGTCTGGATCAGACAATCCGGTGACTGACGTAATGAACATCTGTTCACGGAGTTGGGATACGATGACGTGCAGGTACTAAATCAGCGCGCCTGACTATCAGATCCCGTTAGTCACCTTCTTCGACAAACTGGTTTGCTGGAGATCAGTCCTGACCCTGATATTTACACACAATCAGCATTATTGTTGACAAAGACGTGTTTGTAGAACTGTTCACCTTATCACCAGGAGGTGTATCTCAGATTATGTTACCATTTACAAAATGGGATTTACTATTGATAATTAAATAGAAACATCAAACCATATACATCAAAATAATCGTAAATATTACATTTATGCTCCATGACTCGCGTTCTCCGACAGTAAGGAGAAATGCCATTCTTTTAATATCTGTTTTGGATTTAAACACAAAACCAGTCACCGTCAAACTTGACGGTAGATCCTAATGCCCCTTGGAATTATAATAATATCTAAGGCCCAGTTTCTGTCAATCCCAGTTTTTCCCAATCTGTCTAAGTCTGCTTTAAGTCATTGAAGTTACCGCCTATCGGAAGTATGGCCGATACGATCGTCTCAGCGTTAATGTCGTTTTGTGAAATGGACCTATGTATCTAACAGGTATTTGTCCGTAAATAAGAGTTTTTCGGATTAACAGGGTTCTGATTGAAATGTATCACAAAAAGATACAGTTATCATTGATCCGGGAACACATTCTCGTCGCTGATGGAAGCAGCAGATAATGGTACCGAACAGCACATTAAGGATGCCGTTTAAGTAAACATCCTTAGCTATAAGATTGTCGTTAGGAGTTGCGATAAGCGCCTAGGTCGCTTTATACAACGGAGCTATGCAGTACTAGCATCCTGGGGCGGTGGGGTAG